CTACTACCAGCAGGTAGCAGTAGAGGGAAATAAAAAAACCAGGCCTGATGCCAGCCTGGGTTCAGAAGCTCAGCCAATGCACACTGGGCACCAAGAGGAATTTGTTAGGATGGAAGAACTTCTTCAAAATGATTCTCAAGGTTATGTTCTTTGGCTTTTTCTGAAACCTATACTTAGGTAGACATTTGGAAAGCTCAGTGCAAGCAAGGTAAGGTTTGTGAATGCCTGGAAAATGGGAGAAGAGATAGGGAGGGAAAAATCCTAGATTAAAAATTTTTCTTTCTCAAGAACTTCTTTGCCTCCAAAATATGCAAAGTTATTGGGAGATACAGCTATCTATCTATCTATATGTCTGCATTTATCTATATTCTAAACTGTCAAGACTCCAGAAGGAACCACAGGATTTTAAATTAGAGGTAGAGGAATCCTGAGGCCCTGACAATGTGATCTTGGGCAAGTTAATCTCCATGANCGTTATCAAGTATGGTTAAGAATATGCACCAGAAATGTAGTCAGTCTTCTAAATACCTGTACATGGGTTGATTTTTTTTTCTTGCTGTCTCAAGAACTAACTAATAAGGAGTTAATAGTTCAATTAAAGTTACTTAAATGTGACTGAAATAGGATATCTTTTCTCAGCCACTGGAAAGAGAACTGATGTATTTTAGAGCACAAGCTTCTGGAAAGCAGCCGAGTTTTAAAATGTTTATATCATCTAGTCCTCTTGCCCCAAAAGGCTTAATAAAGATTGTGGTTGGAATTAAATTTATAATATGGTAACTGGACATTGCATTTTAACGGAGACACAGTCTAATCCCCTTAGAGTATTGCATTTCATCTGTATAAATACCCACAATTTGCAGATGTCTGTCTCTACTCCAACAAATTGCAAAAGACTGTTGATGGTATTTGGCCTCCCAAGAGCTCACAGATTTGTTTACAAACTATATTCAGTATTATTTTGAAGCTTTGCAATCAAAATTGTGAGCCTCCACAGTCAGCTGCTTGGACATTTCACAACATATAGCCCTGGACTGATAAACCTGACTCTTGTTTGTGTGCCTTCAGGCCCCAACTGCCCTACAGTCACTGAAGGGCTGTCCCTTCGGGTGTCCCTCCTCACAGGCTCCTGTATGTCTCATTCATAGCAGCCACTTAAAGTGTCTTTGTCAGACATAGAGTGCTGGATTTGGAAGGCAAGTGTGAGGCCATCTGATCTAACATGCTCTTCTACACAGTGAGGTTAAAAGACCCCAGAAAGTCAAAAGACTTGCCCAAGGTAACTCAGTAGCAGAACAAGAATGTAAACCTAGGAGTCCTAACTCCTTAATTCATTGGATGAATTAGTAAGAAGTGTTGAAAGGTTCCTAGAAGACCCGATGAAGAAGGCTGCCATTGAGAAGGACTAGAAGGTATGCAGTCCATCTCTGCCCCCCAGCTCCCTGCAGGTCCCCTAAGATGGAAGGACACAGGTTACAAGTCTGAGGAGCACACCAAAGCAGAAGTAGTGGCATTTGGGGAGCCTGCCTCCAGGAGCTTCCCCAGCTTGTCCGGACCTGGTTGTTGGAAGGGAACACACTCATTTACCGGAGTCTCACTAAGTGCTTTCATGGCATCTGCACACTTTAGTCACAGTTTGGGTAAGTGAGATGAGTGGGACAGGGATTCTTAAAAAACAGACCACTAGACAAGCGGGAGGGAGATTACTGTCCACCATTTGTTTTCATCCACGAAGGGCGTGGCTTTCGTTTGTACAGTCAGAATTTGGAATCAGAACAAAACTGTAGAAAGGATGCTACAGGATTCAACCGTAGCTTTTAAAATACAGAACAGCCACACTTGTTCCTGTCATCACAGGGAAGACTCAGCTGCTCTAAGTGAAGTTCCCTCTCTACTTCCTCATTCTAAGGTATATAGGAAGCATGTCACTTTTATTGGATTCCAATCCACCTGTGGTTAAGAACAGAAGGACATATGTGTGGGTAATTCTCATGTAAAAATGTAGTGATTTCAAGCATCCCAGCCCTTGAAGTTTACACTGTGAAATATCAGTTTCAGCTATGTGACTCTGTTCATGACAAGAAATATCTGGGGTAGGAGAGCCAGTAAGACAATGAGAACTGGAAGTCATATCCCCCTAGCGAAGACCCAGCATGTGTGTGTTAGCGCGTGCCCAGCGGAGGAATGTTAGCTGAACAGCTAATATGTCTGTGTTCTTGGGGGTCAAGAAGACTTAGTTTCTCCAGTCTAGGGACTGTGCTAATCCCCAGTAATGGTTTTTAGGAGCCAAAAGCTAACTGCAAAAAAGCTAAATATCAGATGTAGATGGAACGACCGTCTAAAGCTAACATGCAAATGAGCTCAGGCCCATGGATTTTGTCCTCAGATAAAATAAACCCAAACCAGAAAAACTGGGAGCTCAGTCAAAGTTTGGGGATAGATGGATGATTCTTTTATGAATAGAAAACTGCAAATGTTAATGACCTCCAAGACATCTGCACTAGAATTAGTCCTAAAATTTTATAAATAATTTAGAATTGAAATCTCTGTGTTTGTTCATCATGCTCAGTTTTTCCAGAAGCCAAATGCCAAGCTACTAAGGACAGACGGCAGAAGAGCTTGTTGACTTCTGAGAGTGGCCAGGATGAAAACAGAAAAGTTTCAATGTAGGCAAGGGAATAATGAAACCATGCTTAAATCATTAGGGGACTACAGGAAGTTGTAATTGGAGTTTTCTGAAAGGTGAGCTCCAACTACTGCAACTAAAACAGATGCTACAAAAATGCAAAGTGCACTCTAAATTCTGTACAAACTGTAATGTACTCCAAGACCCATTGGAAGGGGGTCAAAGCTGCATCTGAAAGGCCTGGGAGGCTGCCACACCAGGATTCCTCCAGAAGAAAGCTTAGAGATAACTTTCTGGAAAGTGGACCAGAGCAAACATTCTAGTGTGCTTAAGGCCCCAGCAAACAGCCTCTAGGGAGCGCTAAGTGCCTAGCAGGTTTGCATCTTCTCATTTCCTATTCATAGTCACCCCACGAAGTGAGGACTAAATATTAGCCACTTTGCAGCAGAAGAAACTGAGGCTTGGTTAGATTAAATTATATGCTAGTAAGGGCAAGAATTTCCACCCAGGCTGTTTGACTCCAGGACTATGCTAACCTCCTTTCTTTAGATTTTCCATGCAATTTTGATTCCCTTTCTAAGGAGGCCAGACTGCAGCTAGTCATGAGAGGCTGTTTTTGTTTGGATCTGGGTAGTGTCCCTCCCCTTGTGTCTGCTCCTTTGCCACCCCTTTTCCAGGAGTACAAAGTGCCTCTCTGCCTCTCCTTGTAATGTCCTCCGGAAAGAAGGGGCTCCAAGTCACCGAGCTTGGGTAGAGAAGAGACTGAGAGCACTAGTGACATTTTGAAAATATAAATGAGCTAAAGAATGCTTTAAGCTCTTGGATGAAAAATCCAAATGAGTGATGATATTTGGAAATACAAATATATTTTATTTTGTATAAATATATGCAAACATAATCATATATTTGTACAATATACACATGTATTGTATATTTGTATAAAATTATATGTGTACGAAATACATTTGTATTTTCTGAAATACAAAAGTAACAAATAATCAGTTACTTTAGAGCCTAATAGGATAGGAAAATAAAAGAAGTAAATGGATAAAAACTTGATGTAGTAAAGAATATTACAAATCTTAAGCAGTGATTTCCTGTATGTAGTTAATAGCTCTGAAATTGAATAACTATTTTATGACCAAGTTTTCCATCTTTTCCATTCATTGTGGTCATTTTCTCCTTTTGCATCCCTTTTGATAATGTTTTACAGACATCATTGATTTATATTCCTTATCTGTGTATTTCCTTCCCAGACTGCGTGAAGAGTGATCAGCACGACTAGTAAGAAATCGGTATGTATGTATGATAACTTGGGGTCCTGTGCCAATTGCTGGCTGCATATTTAGTTTCCTCCAAAGTGGTCGTAAATGTTTTACATATAGGTTCCCTCCACTCTCCAAAAGTAGAGTGTTCTATGAAATTTTTCATAAACTGCAATGGCGTTACGTGAAAAGCAACTACCATTAATTTATATGGGAAATTTTTTGATCCCTCCCAGACCCCAAACATAACCTCTCTTAGGCTTTTCTGATACCTTAGGACACGACTTGCTAACGAATGCACAAAATAAGTGAAGATAAAGTGCAGAGGCTCCCAGACCCAGTTCACAGCTGTGGCGACTTGGCGCTGAGATGCAGAGTGAGGCCCCCGGATAGGAGCTGGGCGGGGGCGGCTCCCGGCCCAAGGCGTGCGCGGCCTCGCTGGGCTCGCTGCAAAACCCACGACAGCTGAAGGCTCTTCTCACTTGGGGCCTTTTTCCGTGAAAGCAAAAATGCTCTTTGGATTTGGTCAGCAAAAACCGAATCCAAGTACTAATGTAGGTCTTCCATGAAAGCAAATAGGCAGTATTTGTCCAAACCTATTAGGATTGAGTAAAAATCGAAAACTCCCAAATTTGTCAACATAAACCTTTACAAATAAAACACAGCACTATTTTCTATCCAATTCATTGTTCCACGAAATGTTCATTTAATCCATGGAATATTGACCATCCAAAAACTTTAATGTCAGATACCAGAAATGAACCAGTGCTGACCATTTTCTTCTTGAAATAAATGTTCAGTTCTTCAGTCTCACTGTTTATTTAAAAAGATGCCATTTTTGATGAATTTAAGTTTAACGATTTGATAGGTTCACATTTAAACACATATAGGAATCTCTCCATTCTACTCCTGTCCAAGAAAAATGCAGTTAACAGATGGGTCAACATGGAATATAAAATGGAAAGCAAAGGGATTTTTTTGTTTGTCGCTCATTTGTTTGCTGCCTCGGGTTATTCTCAGATACCAGGTTTTTGGGTGCCCTCCATGTTTTATCTTTCACCACACCATTAGCTAAATGGTCCTCTCCCCATGATCCTTGCTCCCCTCCCCTCTCTGGGTCATTTATGATCATCTTCCGGAAGCTTCTGCATATTGAGCCCACAGCGGAGAAATCTCGGCAGCGTGGGTTTGCATTATGGGATAAGCCAGCCATCTGGCTAGATGCTAGATCCCGATGTTTTTCTGCCTCAGATATTAGTACAGTACAATTAAAAGTCAGCTGCCTTTCCTGGCCCCACAACCCAAAAGCTGTTGGGTAACGAGCCCTGTGCCCTCCAAAGCAGTGGAGCATGTTTCCAGTGTGGACAGAGGTTATCTGTGCTAGACATTCACTGCAGGGCAGTCTGCTGAGGGATCCCTAACAAAGCCACTTCCTATTCAAACCGTGCTTGCGGTGAGTCATCTTTTTCTTTATACATACTTACATTCTTAAGCTACCAGCCGATGAGGATCCTAATGCATATTCTTCAAAGTGACCTATTAATGCTGGCATCTTTTATGATAGCTACTGTGTCATAGCAATGTGGCAACTCTTTTCTCTTTCAATATTTGTACACACATATTTTTTTAATGTTTCAGGATGCTTAGAGCTAGGCAACACCCACATTTCTTGGCTGAGGATTCCAGTGCTAAAAAACTGTTAAATTTTATCTTTTACAGGGAGAAAAGCAGAGCTCTGAGTCCTATGGATTAAAGCAGTGAGTCACAAATTTTTGTTGACATTAAGAATCATCTGGGGCCCTTCTAAAATACAAAGTGAAAAGCCCTGAAGATTGCAAATTCCCAGACCCCACCACTGGAGATACTGATTTAGGTCCAGGCATTTGCCTTAGGTGATTATGATGAGAAAGGCCCCCAGATGGGACTCTGAGAACCCCTAGCGCAGAGCAGGGCTGCTTCAGCTGTTCCCACCCACCTATTAAGCTGTCATCTGGAGTAATTTCGGTGTAAGTTCAGAAGGCTACCCATGAGGAGCTAAAAAGCCCTTCTGCAAGTGACCCGAACATTACACAGTGGGAAGTTTCTGGATACCTCGGGAAGAGATGAAGGCAAATGCTTTGTTTCAAAAAGTGCCTTCATTTCATCCTCTGGTTGCCTTCTCTTCCTCCGCCTTCCAGTTGTCCCTCTCCTGCTTCCCCTCTCCCTGCCCCCCTTCCTCTTCTCTCCCTCCCCTTTCCCCTTCTTTTGTGGCTCATTTAAGCACTATCTTCTTTTCTCCTCTCATCCAAACTCCTTTTCCAGAAGCTGTTGCAAAGTCTGTCAGGTGACTATTTTTAGAAGATGCAGTAAGTGAGTAACAACTGCCAGCAGAACTCAGAGGTGAGAGTCAGAACTTCAGAAAAGCCATAAGGCCACGATCTCTGGAGTCTTGGCATCT